CATCATTAGCTTATTTGTGATCAAGCTTTCTACTACCCTCTCTCCAGTTTTCCTCCCTTCGACTGGGAGTGCTATTCGAAGGACCGGGGTCATGGAGATTCAAGGCAGCCACTGAATTTTCAATTATGAGATATTTCTCAATGAGGTTGTAGAAGCAGGAGAGGGAAATATCATCCTCAAATTACATCTTCTTCCACAAGTCAGTTTGCGGGCAAACTCCCACAATTATAAGAGTTCAAACTGAATCTTTGGGTGTATTAATCACCTTATTCAGTTCTCTATGGAACCTGTCAATATAGAACTGGAGGGACTCATTCCTCTTCTATCGTATGTTGTTCAAATAGCTCAATAGCATTGAGAACTTCCTATTAGCCTGGAAGTGTCTCAGGAACAACAAATTCATCTACTACCACGAGTTAATAGATCCTGGTGGAAGCTATCTAAACCAGCGCTTAGTGTGGGCAGTCAAAGTCACTGCTAAGCAGCGACATTTCACCAAGTTAGAAACTTGGTGAAACTTTATGAGGTCGTTAAACTCATAGAGATGATCTTACAGATCGGAATTCCCATTGAATGCTCGAATATCAGACATTCTAAACCTCAATGAGAGAGGAGCAGTTAACACTGTCGAAGAAAAAGGAGATGCCTCAGCAACCTAGCTACCCTTGCTCATTTTGTTGAGCTCTAATCTTATCCAAAGCTCGCTGTAACTCCTCAATCTAAGGAAGTGGAGCTACAAGGGGATCACTTTCCGTAACGTGGGTTCATCCCTCACGATTGTGATTGAGGAAAGACTGCAGATCGGACTCTTCCCTGCCTTGGCCGAAGCCTTCGGCATACCTTTGCACATGCTGGTTGAAGCCATGTGAAGGCATTGAATGCCTAGAGGAGTTATCCTAACCTCCATGATGGTCAGAACTGACTCGTGGATTAAGGGTATTTCCCTTGTAGTGATGGTGGGAACCATCATTCCAACAATAATAGGAGTCTCCCTGCCTTGCACTCTTATGGGGGTGCCCATGCGATGTGACGTGGGACAGCTCATGATGCGACATACCACCAAGTCGCAAAGCCACAGGTATTCTACCTGCTTCGCGACTAGTATTCATTGGTCCCTTTGAGCTTTTTGGTTCACATTTGCCACCCGCTTTCCCTTATCTTTACGCGTCGTAGTGCGCATGACATGGGCTTTCACCTATTTTCGTGCTTTTGCAAGACCTACAGGCGTCTTTGGTAGAGGCACTACCCTATCGGAATTGGGCGGTACGACTTGATCCAAACGATCTAGCCTTCGGCTAACCGTTTAGAGAGTATTATTGAACCTCTCCAGGTAATTCATCACAGCTGGGTCAAGCTGAGAGGTCGAGGAAATATTTGTCACGGTATTTCGCGAGACTGGAAGTACTTCGAGAGAAGTAACATTTTTTACTCAAGGGATCTCCTTGCTATTACTGCTAGTTCGCTCGGTTTCAAGACCACGAGCCATTTGTTCACAAGTAAATCTTATTGATGAGAGATTCTTGATGAAGAGCGGATACTAAATTAAGCCCTCCTTCTAGCGCCAAATTATTGATGCTTGATTTTGACACCAACGACTCGCACATGCAAAGTCCTAAGCTATTCTTAGAAATTACATGTGAATGATTGGGATAATCAAATGCAAAAACTAAATAATAAATGAGAGATGATTTTTAAAGTGGTTCGGATGCTCAAAGCAAATCCCACGTCCACCGTTTCTTTTATATATGAGAGATTATAAGAGGTCATGTACAACAAATAGCGAGCAGAGGTACAATAACTTAATATTTAAAGAGAATATCAAGTCAGTCTCTTTTTCGTAGATTGTCTTTGCTCTGAAAATGAAGATTACGATTAGAATGAGGTTTCAAGATCAAAATCCTGAAAATGAGAGGGGGAGTCTTCTGTTTATAGTAGAGAAATTCAAGGTAATGATTACAAATCTGCGAGTGGGTAGGTGATGTGCAAGTCCATCCTTGCCTCCTATTGGTTGATAACTTAAGAAATATCCTCAAATTACCTAGGGCATGGACAAGTGTGCGGCCCTCTATCACTCATAGAGAAAACCTAAATCTGCCAAGTTGATGACAACCATATTCTTCCTGTCATGGAGCGACGTGGCAGCTCCTGGACGGTGCAAAGTCTTCTTGAACTATGATTGGCAATTGCTGATGTAGGCTAACATTAGCCTAGATTTTTTAGGCATAACAATGACATTTTAAGAAAATTATAAAATTACTAGTTATAATGATTTGTTATATGAATTGCTCTATTAGAGTGGTACATGTACTTTTTTTTTTTAATTGTCGGGGTGTTTAAGCTAGTTTGTGCATACTTCAATTAATCCCTCAAGACCTTGGAAATGCTAGCTGGGTAAGAGCCCCAATGTCACCCCTTTTAGTGCCTGGGTAGACTCGAACTAGAACCTTCTTTACTCTTTTAACATCAAGTCATCCAATGGTGGTTGTTACATGTACTTGTTGTTATGTAATTTATTAAAAGATCAAACGCATATTCCCAGTGTTTTGAAACCTAGACCGGAACGGGCGGTCAAACCGGTCCGACCGGGTTTCGGTGGAATTTTCGGTTTAAAAGGAGTAAAAAACCAGAATTTCACGTTGGATCATTTCAAACCGTTGTTGCATCGTCTTACTATAGCAGACCGACGGTCCAACCGGTATACCACACAAAGCCGGTCCAATGTCAAATCCAGTCCACTAACAAATTACAAAACCCCCTAAAGTCAAACCCCCAATTTTTTAACCCATTTTTAATTTTTTATATTTGCTTTTGCGGTTCACAACTGTTTGGCACACTTTGCTTTGATTGGCGCATTTGCTTTTTCACTTTTTCTTTTTGGTTTGTCTCCTCTAGTCCAGTCCTCCTCCTCCATTCGTGATCTTCTTCAAGCTTCAACTTCAGCCTTCAAGTCTTCAACCTATTCAATCATCGCTAGTCTACTACTCTGCCTCTTCCTTGCCGTGGCTGGTCTGCTACTCACTCGTCAGTCGTGACTTCAAAACTTTGGTTCAGAGTCTTAATTCTTCAACTTCAAGTCTTCAACGGTTAAAACTCTTCAATCATCGATGTCCCCATGTAAAAGCCTACTTCTTTCTTGTCGTTGCTGGTCTGCCAGATTTGTCAGTCACTACTTCAACTTCAGTTCAGATTTCAACCTTCACATCTGCCGCCGTCTGCGAGCTGCCGTCTGCTATCGACCAAGTAACAAACTGCTGTAAAAGACTAAGAGTCACCCTATCTTTCTTTGTCTAAGAGTCATCCTATCTTTCTTTGTCTTCTATTTCATATCATGATTCATGATATTGTATTGATTTATGATATTGTATTATTGTGAAAATGTCATATGAATCACTGAATCTGTCAATTTAAATTTTGAAACTCTTAAAATTGATTTTTTATTGTGAATCTATCATTTGTCAATTGAATTTATGAAACTCTAAAATGTAATTTCTCATGGGAAATTTAGAAATTGATGGTGAAAGTTTCACCATGAAGCTTCATTACACTATTACAGTAACAGAGTTGAAGGCTGTAAAATGTAAGCTTCCTTGTGTTGAAACCATGACATAGGTTTAGGATAAATAAGAGGATAACTTTTTGTTATACTTTCAATTTGTGCACAGCATATTGTTATTTAAACTTTAAAGTTTTTTTTTGGTTTTTGCAAACGTCATCATGCTGACGTTAGCATGATGACATCACTGGTCCAATCGAAAAAACCAGAAACCGGGCCTTTGGTCGAGTCGACTCCTTGTTCAGTTTTCAAAACATTGTATATTCTTACTCGAGATTTGGCGAAATCCTAAGTGGATACCCTCAGTTCCATTTATTCCAAATCCCCACCCTTAAATGAATGTTGTTAACGATGGTTTGGTTATGACACGGGCTATTATGAAACTGCCCTTCACCCCATTCCAAACCATAGTCCATTCTAAGCCACCCCATCTCAAACTGCCACCACAACCGGCCAAACCACCCCCATTCCAAACCACCACCACCATAGTCGGCCCATCCTACAATCAATCAACAAATCAAATTCACTCCAAAACACAGGTGGTGGACGATGGCAGTGGCAAGGAAAATCAATGGCAATGGGGAAAAAAACGCAGCAAATCAAACTCAAAACACAACAAAAACGCAACAAATCAAACTCAAAACAAAGGCTCCAAATCAACCCAAACCTAGCTATCGCGCGAAGAGATGAGGAAGTGATGGACGGCGACCAATGACCAAACGACTGTCAAGGATGGAAGGGGTTTTTGAGAGGGGAGGTCGGTGAGGTGAATGACGGTGACAGGAGGGATTTTTGTTGCTGAAATCGATGGGAAAATGGAAAAATCACGCAAACCCTAGATTTGTAGTGGCCGACGATTGAGGGGTTCTCTTGGATGGGGGTGAGAGGGGTTTTGGTGTGTTGGTTAAGGGGAAGTGATTGGTGGTGATGGGGGTGTCTGGCGATGACGAAATCAAGTGGTTGGGTGCTACACTCACAGGAAATGCAAAAAACTAGAGAAATGCAAGAGGGAGATGGATAGTCACGGCTAGATCTGGGCTTCATTACCGGAAAGGACCGAAAAATGGCCTACAGCGATGCTGACAAAGATTAGAGGAAGCCGAAGATGAAAAGGTGGAGGTGCAGAGAAATTTGAGATTTGGGGTTTTTTTAGGGTTATTTTGTCCTTTTAATTTCAAAATAGGGTAAATACTATTTTAGCCTTCCACTATTAAAGAAAACAGAATTAGTTTAAGGATGGAAATTTGAAATAAATGGAACTGGGGGTATTTGCTTAGGATTTTGCCGAACCTCGGGTGGAAACATGTCGATTACTCTTTATTAAAATAATCTAGCAGCGAAGAAACCAAAAATTAGTTACATTTTAAGCATAAACCTCTGGACATGAAATTCTCCAAATAAACAGCAATACGTGATGAAAATTTGTTATTGCAAATGCACTTGGTCGATATCAATCACAAAAAGAAATATTTATCTTCCATTGAATAGGCCACTGAAAACTTGGCTATTCCCTCCTAAAGATGCTTCCCACTCGGTTGAGGAGATAACAATTTGAGATAGTGTTACAATAATGTCTCTAATTTCTGGTCTGTTCACTGCATATTCACTTAAACACCAGTCAGCCACCTCTGCCATCTGCAAGTGTCAACAGTATTTAAGTTATCTCATCTCATCACTCTCTTAATTTAAGCCCTTTACACATGAACACAAATGCAACTAACCTTATACACATCATCCATTGGGTAGCTGCTTCGAAGACTACCATCTACCACTTGCTCTAAAGCAGTCTCCGGATCTTCATCTTGGAGCACTTTATTAATCTGAGTAAACAAAATTTTCAGGTTTCTTAAGCTTGTTTCCTTTATAATTAGATACAAATATATGTAACTAGTTAACTTACAATAGTAATTAGTGATTTCATCTTGGTGGGTTCTCGGTTATCTCGAATAAGAGCACGTTGACCTGTTATCAGCTCCGCCAGAACCACCCCAAATGCAAATATATCAGTTTTAGTGGTCACTTGTAGCTCCTTCACAGATCTTGTAATTAAAACAGTTCACAAATTCAGAAACGTCTATACAGTGTATCAGAAATATCCGCCAGTAATGGTTGTATTAAACAAAGCAACTCAGAAATGTTAAACTTACTCCGGAGGAAGATAGCCCGGTGTTCCTACCAATCTTGTTGCTATCAAGTCATCATCTTCGTTGGTTCGTTCCACAAGCTTCGCCAATCCAAAATCTGCAACCTATTGTTATCATGATTACATTAGGCTTTGATAAACAGTAGAAAAAGAGTTATAAACAAGTATTTGAATAACGAATCTTAAATATTTGTTATGATTTTGGTACCTTTGCTCGCAACCCCTGGTCAAGTAGAATGTTGCTGGTCTTTATATCACGGTGGACATACCGAGCTTTGGTGTGGTCGTGAATGTATTCGATACCCCTGGCAGCATCAAGTGCAATCTGAGTTCTTGCCGTCCAAGAGAGAGGTTGATGACCTTTTAACAATGGATCATGAAGATGATCACTGAGTGAACCATTCTGAACATATTCATAAACTAAGTAGAGGTGATCGTCTCCACTAGCATAACCTAACAGCTCCACCTTCAACATATATATTTCAAATTGTGAATTAGTCATTAGTAAGCATACACAAAGATAGTGGCATAAATAAAGTTCCATTTTATAAAGTTAAATCAATTGTCTCCTAATGTTGCTCTGTGAGAGGATTCAATCCAAAACCTCCTATAAATTAAGTTAAACTTGACAATATAACTTACCACATTTATGTGGTGGATTTTGCATAAAACCTTGAGCTCTGCAAAGAACTCTTTGGATTTGTTGGATCTCATCTTCTTTATAGCAACCTCCTGAATGTTGTAAAGCAATGTTCAATTTTGGGTATTAAATATTAATGTGTCTTAAGAGAAATAAAGAAAAGTAGCAAAGATAAGCCATACTTTCTCTCCTAACACCCCAAAGTACACACTTCCATATCCACCCTGTCCAATTATCTTAGTTTCATCAAAGTTATTTGTTGCCTCTTCAATCTCCTCAAGGCTAAAAATCATTGTTCTTTCTGTTTCAAAAGCTGTCACATCTGCACAGTGCAAATTCACTATAAATCGGTAATTTCCTTCTCTTTCAATATTCTACTTATAGTAATTACCATGTATCAGGATTATGATTAAAGTTCACATTTCCAAATTAAAAGACCAAAAAAAAAAAAGGATTGTGGTAGGACAATGTAATAGTTATTACACAAGATATCAGAATTCCATAATCAATTTATGGAGTTAGTTTAAGTGAAACTGGGAGTTAGTTTTAGTGAAACTGACCTTTCATAGTTTCTCTTAGATACTGGCTGGGCAAGGAAACTGCTCTATGAGAAGCAGCAGTCAAGGTTGTGGACACAGGTCTGGAACCCTCCTCGGTGTTTTGTTGGGATCTGCGTCTATTTCTCCTGAAAAGAATGACTATCAATGCAATCACCGAAAATAATGTCACAGTTGATAATATGCCAATAACTACTATCCATTTGTATCTCCATCCTGATCC